CACTTTCGTGATCCTGCTTGTATAGCTACCAGGTTTCTTAAGCATGCGTTAATGCAGGAAGTATCGCTGAGTCGAAAAGGTGGGCGCGTAGGCGTGTGCTCTTTCTTCTCTTCGCTCATTCTCTATGCTCATGACGGCTCCCCTAGGAACTCGCCTCCTTCTGCCGAACTCTGGAGCTAATTCGTACACCATCGTGATTTTCCGACCTGGATAACTGTAGTAATCGCAGATGTTCATTCCGTTTAGTGTGAATTAAGCATACAAAATCGACTATCTATTCTTCATGAATATCGTTCTTATGAGGTTTACTCGAAAACCAATCTTTCTACAAGGGCTATGTGTGTATGATGCAAAATACATCATACTGATAAATTCTATTGAGAAAATTTTTAAGCACTCCATGAAACAAACAGACCACTTTCAAACTGCTGCCAACTTAATTCTATTGTATTGTGTTAGACTGGAAAATTTTTTAAAAGATTTCTGAAGTTTTATGATTTATCTGAGCTCTAAAATAACATGTTCGAAGTTGAGAGGCACTTTTTCAAGCTTTCCAACACTTTGCAAGGACGTCGTATTTCATTTTGTGACTTCATCCAGACTAAAATACCAGTATAAAAATATATTTATCCCCACTGCATATCTAATAATCTTTCGACGTGGACGGATAATTTGATGGATGCTATTCTCTCGAAGGTTATTCTTGCTTAGCAGGAAAACAACCACTGAGATAATGCAGGAATTGAGCCTGGTTTTCGAAAGTGTTTCTTCAACGATGTCTCAAGTTGAAAATAAGTCATGATTGGAGCAACAGAACTTCAAGTCCGGGGAGTATGTCGGCCGGGGTAGAACTTCTCAGAGTTCAGAATAAGTGGTGATCGAAGCAATCCAAGTCCCGATAGTAGGACGGATGGAGTAGAATATCTTAGCCAAGCTCCGAGTTGAGTTGTCCTCATAACGTACGAACGAATGCAATGGACAGTGTGAACTCCGTTTTGTTTACAATAATGATTCGAGTACCCACATCTAAGCTTTGAAGCTGAGGAAGGTATACGATGGCCATAAACGCGATATTTATTAGCTCATAGTACTTACGACATTTATTATAAATCTCACCAATGAAACAGAACATTTCCTCTATCAATGTTTCGAATTCCATTTTCCACTTCATATTGAGTCGATTTCTTCCGTGAAGTCCACTAATTGTATGGTTGACGTAGACAGACCGGTTCTCATTCCCGGTAACAATTTCTTTCAGTCATTTCTGTGCGGACAAAGGAGAAATTCGTAGACACTGACAGAATTTCAGCCGGAATCAATAAACTCTTGAGGAATCAATCTGGAACAAGCCCATCGATTTAAAAGAACATTGTTGTTGTTGCTGATAGTCGGACTGGCGCCTTCATAGAAGTCGTAGGCAATACGCGTTCGACTTGGCATATTAATGGCGTTTCGTTGAGTTTCGCCATAAAGTATTGATGAAAATGTGTGCGCTGTAGACCTCCAAAGGTCATGTTGTTATCGCTAAAGCGTCTGAACGTTATCGAGACACCGTGGAATAATGAATGTTGTTCATCAATGTCTTGCGGATGTTGTTGACAGCGACTCTCGCATAGCAATGAGTTCGCATGATTTCATATTGGATAATGCGAGGCATGTTGATTAACTAACTGGATCCATAATGGTACAAACACTGGTAGAAATCCCCCTACGTAGCACTCAGGAAGAAGTTCCAAAGATATTCCAAAGTATTTTAATGTCAGATGGGTGTGTGGTCAGTGGTCAGAGGTACGCTGCAATACTCACTTGGTCATCGTCCCGATCCCGTACCCGTGACTCACCAAACTGTCACAAGACTTGTCTAGAAGGGGTAAAACACTGACTTAGTAAATCAATAGGACTCTAGTAAGTCACTGTATAAGGCAAATATGCATCCACTCACTGGTACGATGACTAATGAGTCGAATGCATAGTGAATCCCAAAGGGATTAATCAACGTCAAGCACTTTATCTTGTTATGCTCTTATTTTAATGACAAACTCCATCTACAACAGTCTTATCGTAACGTTTTTTTTTTGTCGAGTATCTTAGAAAGTGTTGTAAAACTATCGCTGTAATACGCCTTCATCAATAATAAATTAACTGATTTGTTTACAACAACGGGAGTTTACAGTGTAACCTGTTCGTAGTTTTAAGTCAGTCTTGAAGAAAAATCTACTTTAGTTGTATAAAAATGGTTGGCCTTGACATACTTGCCATTTGCGTCGTTAGCTATCCAATAAGAGGAAGTTGTCCTAATTAAAGAGTACCATCCATCTTCATTCTTCACCATCAATAAAAGCGAATTCCAAATGTGAAGGACCCAAGAAAGCAAAAAGATGTATTGAGGTTTCTCTTTTTGGCTTCCTTACCGTCTCACCCCTTTCTTCTACGTGACTGCAAAAAAATTCAACGAATAAAACTACTCTCATTAATAGCGACCAACTTTGTGTAGCAAAGTCGAGACCAACAAAATCAACGACTTCACTTAAGCAAAAGTTCTCAACGTTAATCCCTGAGAGATGCCCCATGCATTATTCGACCTAGTTAAACACCGTTGGAGGTGATCGAATGCATATCTGGTCTTTACAATGAGTCGTGGTGGCGTACCGATGTGTCGAGCCAGTGGTGCTATCCACTCAAATAAGTCTAGTACCTATTTACCGACCCCGGAGGGATGGAAGGCTTGGTGAGCCATGGCTGCGGAGATCGATCCCATGTGTACTGCAGGGCACCTCCGACCTTTGCGCCACACGCATCCGTTCGATTCTATTCTACACGATTTCACTTGTAATGAAATATTCCATTTCTGACATATTCGTAACTGGCGGGTCATGGAGCTGTACGATGCCAGTATACTGATTGATAAGCTGGCAGGAACAGACGTTGAAGCGCCATTATTGGAGAAATAGAAAGCAATCTCCATTCTTTTTTGTACTGCATGGGAAACCACAGGCAGTACCAGAGCTGAAATCAAAATGCGATTGGGAAAGGTAGTGGTGCAGGGCACCCCTTTCATGGAAAGAGCAGCCACGTATTCGAAGCGTCAAGAAATGCTTATCCACCACTTAACCTTATTCGGGGTCATTTTACAACAATCTCCTGAAAGGCACTACTTTGCACCTGTGTCCAACTACTAGCATCCATGACATCAACATTTTCCCGTCTCTAATAACGAAACCATCGAACGTTCGCAATTTCAATCAGCACATTTCCGTTGCTAAATAAAGAGCTGAAAGAAAGAAGAACACCACTGCAGCTTTCCTACTGTTCCTGGTAACCACTATCGATAATAGCATTCTGCCAATCTCATCCTGAAAAAAGGGACTATAGAAAAGAAGACCTAATGGAAGTCGGGTGCCGAAACAAGGTCTCACTGGCGTCAAACGTGGTCACTTTGGCGAACAACATATGGCTTCAATTTGTCTTCACACACGCACCTAGTACACAACAAAAAGATGCGAACCTCGATATTTATGATTTTCCCTCAACCGAAAACAATACTAAGAGTATGAATCGTAGGTAGAATGGGAAACATCAACAACACAGCGGGAACCAAGCAAAATCATCGTCGAAGTGAAATCACTGATGTCTAAACAATTAACCATTGAAAATCTAACATTACCAGTGTACAACAATATCGTAACACCTCACTAGTATTTCTCAGAATGTCAAACACACGACCTTACAAAACACAGACAAAAATCTGCTGTTTGCGAGCAATTCGTGTGTACATATGTGAATGGAGATGAATGAAGAACAGACTACAATTCAACTACAATCAACTTTAAAACTACAAACAACACCAACTTCACGATGACAGAGCATAGCGGGATACCACGCCTTTAAATGCTCTCTACGGAAAAGTCGCTCGCATACGCTGCAGGTGGGTGGTCGTGGTGGAACCTCTACGTGGAAGAAGCAACACATTAGCAGACAGCAAGTGGCCATTCCCAACCTACTATACAGGTCCTAGCTATTCCAACTATCTAATTGACAAAAATTTAGTAAAAAGAACACTCGCCAAACATCAACGATGCAATTGTAAAGCTGAAATGACAGCTGGGAGAGAAAAATTAATCATGGAAGGATGGTAAGGTATTTGAGAAGGAAATACATCCTATAAACTATATATGTATATATGTATAGAAGGATGTAGAACGTTATACAAGGCTTTCTGTTTCAAAATCCATCACACTACCTCACTACTATGCACTATCCATCACTACGGATAATAAGGCAACCCAAACCAACAACAACAGAAAAGTGCAAAAGAAGTTCGGTATGTGATGACACGTCTCGAACCAGTAATTCCTGCATACAAACCTATAAGCAGAAACACACCTTTCACGAATAAGACGACAGAATAACACACGAAAGATATGTAGTTCAAACACTGATGAGGAACAGAGACAAGGAAACTTCGCTAACCTCGAAAAAAAGGGGAAATGAAGAAAAAAGACAGAAAAATGAGAAAGAACGCCTTGGAAGTGTAAGACCATATGCATATTCCTAAATATATATAATAACCATTACGGTGAAAACAAGGTATGACGGTGGACACGTGAACACGCCCAATCGCACGTGCCGGTTTCAAAACATACTAAACTTAAGCGTCTTAGAGGAATTAATGTTAAGAAAATTGGATGTAATATGAAAACGATGAGTATTTGTTAATAAAGGGAAAATATACACTTGCCTCCTAGATATAACTATGTACATTTAGAATACGAACTATTAAAAGCAAGCACGATAACGGTACAACACGCTACTAACGGGAGGAAGGTTCGAGTGGGTTAACTTTTAGTCGATTAAAGAGAAGAAAATTGTAAATGACACTAGAGAAGCAAGTATGTAGTATGTGTATGAGGGCTAAGGCTAACCACAGTTTTACTAATGGCTGCGTCGACGGACGGCTACACATCAACCAACAAGAACCACTTTAATGATTACGGTTCATCCTACGCATTTAGACCGCCAACTGGTGTGGCCCAGATCTTCTCAAGGTCTTTGAGAAGCATTGACGAATTGTCGTCGTCTTCGACCAACGATGAACTTAATGTGGCCGGTTTATCGAATGGTGGTAGCGCCCAACCACCACAACGCGATGCCCATGGATCAGCTGGAGTACGGGATACGGAGTTGAGCATCTGAATAACGAAGCCTTCATGTTAGTACGATAATTACAGACGACTTTCAAAACTGGATAATTCTAAAGAGTGATAACTTCTGGAATATAATGCGCCCAACCGTGGCGAAGTATTCTTGCGTATTGAAATGCAATGCACAGAGAAGAAAATACTTCCCTGACTAAGAAAACACCATTTGAACACACACGAATGTTCTTGGAATAGTATGAACAATCGTATTACACATGAAGTAAAAAAAATGCACTAATGGAGTCCACAATTTCATTGGTAGGATCTCTCATTTATAGCCACAGCCAAAATACTAAAGTCTTTTTTTAATAAGATAACTCTATTAAAAATAGAAGTATCTAGGTAGATGTTGCTACAACTCGTTTAGAAAAAACTTTTGATAATAAACTGCAAAAATCTTCTGGAAAAAATATCGACGACGTATGTTCATCGAAGTATTTTTAGCAAGACAAGTAGAATGAAAACAAATCTGGAATACTTCGTTATGAAGCTAAATCATAAGCATTCATAGAACCATTCTAATTTGTATATGCGTTTTTACTTCGTTCTTAAACTCTATTCAAATGAAGGAAGCAAGTAGAAACTCACCTTGGAAGGGTCAAGTCCGGAGAACGACAAATCCTCGATAAACTTGTCAGCATTGAACCCAGGTAGAATCTGATCACTAAGAAGAAGTGAATCGGGCCGAGACACAGTTGTTGAGCTATTGTTCTTGCTGTTGCCGTTCCTGTTTATGGTTCCGTTGAGAGGTCGGAACGGGCTGTCACAACCCATCGTCAATCCGTTGAACGCCGTGTCGAGACCGAACACATCCTGTAACAAGTGCCACAGACTATGTTGGCGGGAAATAAGCGAGTGGTTTTTAAGAAAATTTAAAGCTTGATTTGTAAAACGCAATGACGTTAAAAAACTTTTTCAAAATCTTAGACTACTAAATGAGACTACACAGTGTTAGGCCTCTCCGAAAAGTATTTTCTGTTTATGTAACCTCCATTAAAACCACTAAACAGATCCTGGTGTCTGAGAAATCGACACACCTGCAGGCTGTTATCTTCGCTAACCGATGACGATGCACTACTATCGTCGAGCACACAGTAGTTACGAGGAACTTGACCCCGTGCCAAAGCGGCGCCATAGCTGGTGTGGGTAGGCGTGCCAGCCCCCTCGGTGCCGGATGTACTAACAGTTCCCACGGTAGTCGCACCAGAAAGTGACTGGTTTGCCGGTTTGCTTGGTTGACGGCGTTTCCATCCGTCAACCGAAGCCATTTCATAATAGAATCCATCCGAGTTTGCATCATAGTACCTAAACAAATTTTGTTAAAGCAGTGAAACAAAAAATTTGGTTAATTACTAATGAAATAGAAACTCCAAATAACCCGGAAACTAATGAATTAAAAAGTTGCAACACTGAAGATACACGTTAAGAACTAAAATAATACCTACATCAAAGTGTCAGTGTTACAACAACTTAAGATATACGTTTAAAAATTCACTTAAGTGCAGGTTGTGAGAACATCGCACTCTGGAGCAACGCATGGGCATGTACCGCAGTCTGCATGTTTAACATCGGAATTTTTCCACCTTTAGCCAACTGTGCGATTTCCTTCAAAAATAACATAGAGATTAGATGTGAAAGACCTTTCTTTCCATTTCTATGTATCCATTCACCAATAACACTCTGCCCTATATTAAAATCATTCGCTAATATGTACAGGACTTGCTATCCAATCTATACTCACTAGTTTTCATAGAACCACATCATTTCTGTTTTACAAAAACACAGCATTCTACCTACATAACACTACCAAAGCTTTAGGTCGTCATTAAACGTGTCCCTGGTTTTATCACTATTTAGTGTGTATTCAAAACATTTTCATCACTTCATTACTAATGAGAACTGACAACCCGTTGTATATGAAATGGTATCATGGTAAAAACAGACGAGAAAATGTAGGAGGAAAATTTGGCTAAAACCAACGTTTTTTTTTCTCAAAAGGTGAAAGGTGTTTTTCCCAAATAACAACTTTCTTCCAACGCTTAACAACCACACTTCAGAACAGCTCTTAGGGTAAAAGGATCCACGTCAGACTTCTCCACAACGTTTTCAGTCTCGAGTCCTTGACTAGACACTCTCAAAGAACTGGACCACATTCAATGAAACCACTTTTACAACGTATAATGACGTCTAGTTGGAGTGCAAGGCAACGCTACGTGAAAGATGCTAAGCAAAAACTGCACTAATAAAGATCGTTTTCATGTTCACTGCGTTCACAAAGCTAGAATTCTTTTCTTTGAAACGAAAATCTATGACGAGTGTCTAATTTTAACTGCAGAAGCACCGCATTCAGGAAGAGAGTACTGAAGAATAACAATCTCAAATGTAAACGTTTTGCTGTACAATATCAAGAGCCGAAGATGTAGGGCTTAAAATGTGATAAGGGTCTGCTGCACAAACAATTCGCGTTCTATTTGCGATAAAACGAGAAAAACCACCGTCAAAGATTATTTTTATAATCCCCTGGTACTATGGAACACCAAGAAACCATTTTAGCCAAGTGGTTTGGATGGTGGTGAACAGATTCTTTGAATCTGAAAACTACTAAAGAAAAACATAAAGATGAATTTTCCACTCAAGGACGAATTAAAATTAGCTCATAAAGCTCCCTCACCTATACTTGGCAACATCAATTGATCTACTATTTTTGTTTTTACAAGAAGACAAAGTAGTTCCGGCTAATAAGCTTCATCCAAGAGAAAATAAGACGATTCGCTCTCATATCGTAACGGATAAGATTAAATGAAAAAATAATCACCGATAGGCTATAATTAAGCGAATGACGTTCTCCCCTGAATAATGAAGTTCCGGAAGTGAAAAGTGGACGTGGACACGACGACTTCACGACAATTCTCTACGATAAGAGGTACAGAGAACGATAATTAACGACACCCAACTAGCTATTAGTCTGATTCATAATATACAACTAATAAGACAAGGTTACGTTTTCCTTTATCTCCTGGCAAAACCCATTTGAATATGCCTTCTTAGGCCTTTAATATCAACAAGTCAACACATCAAAGAATAAAGCTGTAAAGACAACGAGACAGGCAATCGAAAACATTGAAGACATCAACTTAAGGACTACAGACAGCGGAAAATATCCTAATAATCACGCAAGCGACCTAAATCGGCCCAGTAAACAGATACACCTGAGATAGCGTCCAATTTAAAGGCAAGATATGTAGAGTAAAATAAGTTAGGTAAAGCAAAACCCTAGGTAAACCCCAAGTAAATACCGGTGTGAATATTCTAAACTTTCGGATATGATTCCTCGGATACTACTTTCAAGGAAACCGCTTGTATCCCATTAAATGAATCACAAGCTCCCCCACTTTTCAAACACATGCAAAGGCCACTCAAACAGCAATTCAAGAGTGAAAGATCATTTTAGCCTTAAATATTCAACCATAAGAAGTGGAAAATATTCTCATAAATGGTCATTCAGATGGAAAAAAAGACAACTATTGCGACTGTTCTAAAGGATGCAAAGCCAACGAGAACATAATGTTCAGCATTGTAAAAAATACTACTTTTGACCTCAAAATTGTACTAGCCAAAGTAGACACTTGATAAAAAGGACACGCCTCTCGGCGATGATCAATCCCTGAGGGATGCGCCATGCATTCGACTTCATTAAGTATCGTTGAAGGTGATTGAATGCATATCTGACCTTTGCAATGACTCGCGGTGGCCTACCGATGTATCGGGCCAGTGCTGCAATCCTCCCAGACAAGTTCTGTAGCAATTTTCCGACCCCAGAGGGATAGAAGGATTGGTGGGCCATGGGCGTGGGGATCAATTCCACGTGTGTGTCGCGGTGGTACCTCCAACCACTGCGCCACACGCGTCCAACCACTAGATACCAACACTTTTTCAAAATTTCGTCTTTCGTTTTCATATTTCTCATCCTCTATTATTACTTTATTTCTATAATGTATTATATTTATGTAGTCATCACCTGCTCCTTGATGCGATGCATTGCCGAATTCGGCATACGTCGTCTCCATCCTTTTGCACCATTCTGCTCATAGTAATAACCATCCGAGGCAACATCATAATACCAGTAATCATCGACTCCATTTAAAATACGCTGACGTTCGCTAGCAAGCAGATCCTCGAGCGTCGCCACTATAAAGAAAAAAACACCTGCGATCTTTGAACAAAAGAATCGCTTAGTGAGCACCATCATAAAGGGCATCGTGACTCATTTACCATTTGCTTCTGTTTCAGCCAAATCGAAATGAGCTGCTGCTTCAGTTTTTTTGGCTCGACGAAGCGCACGACGACGTTTCTTGTCTTCTGATTTGCAGTTTTTACCATCTGTCTTCATGGAACCGTTGGCCGGCGCTAGAATGAAACAGGTCATCTATCGTCTGATGTAATTCAAAAACGACAAGATGCAATCAATGGTCACGTTGAAATTCTGAACTATATAAACTAAATTAACTAAATCAAACCAATCAAACTATAAAGCAAACATATACATCTAGCAAAGGAGAAAACCATATTCGTCCTGAATAAAAACTTTTATCGATTTTTGTCCTCAACCATGATCGTCGGAACGGCGGTAGTAGTAGTAGTGTAACGATGTTCGATTACAAACCAAAGGTATGAGAACTGTACAGAAAAACATAAGCCGTAGTTGTTCGGCCAAGCGTAAGAGTGCGAGTGTGAGCATAACGGAAAAAAGCACATCACCAACGACCAGAGCAACAGATGTGATTCTGTGATGTTACGCAAATGTGAATATATTCACTTGTACGAATACATACACAGAATCACATTACAAGCAAACGTCACTTCCACATAACGTCATCGACAATCGATTCTGTACCAGACAAACCAAAAAAAACATGAAAAAATCTATGGAATGATAACATCGGTCTTTTCGAATATATAGATACTCTTAGCACTGATCAAACCTCGAAGAAGACGCTACACGCAATGCATTCCATTAAGCATCATCAAAGTAACTGAACGCATCCACGGCCTATGTATTGACTTGCGAGGATCCACCGATGTCTCACGTTTGCCCTTTAACACTCCTAGACAATCAGGCCAGCTTGCTGGTCAGTGAGACCAGGACATGGGTCGAACCAGCGTTCACTTGCGTATTTTAGAGCACCTCTAACCACTGCACAACAAGCGCACCTTGTACATATACTTGTATACGTGAAAAATGAACCGTCGAAAACATTTCAGTGACAGAACACTGTGACTATGTTCCGTTTGTGCACTTTAGTTGTTGATGTGGATCGATTTTCCAGACGTCAGTGAACATTAGCCTTTTTCGAAAACGGTCCAAAAGCGATTTTTGAAAACAAAAACGAAAAATGGACGAAAAGCATCCAAGTCAACAGATGCTCTGGCCTTCGTTTTCAACATGCGTAGCTACTGTAAAATTCCGGTCCTCGAATTTTCACCACATCGTATTCCCACATGCCTACTTCGTTCTCCTAATCGACTAAAAGACTAACCGAATAGGGAAGAGAACCTTCAAATAGGTGATTGATTACACTCGATTACTACGGAAATGTCTATGTGGTTGCAATCGCTACTCCAAAAAAGGTGAAAAAACACGACTTTCCGGTGCTTACACTGGGATCTAAAGCTCTTTAAATCATTGAGATGAGAGATGAGTAGCAGAACTTTGTGCCACTTGCAGCTGAAGAAACACACGGAGCACAAAAGATCGAGTAACAAATGTTGCATTCACGACACGTTTGTGTGGTATTTTCAAAAGCAAATGTTGAACGAGACGAACACCTAGAAAGAAAATTTGTGGCCTAGTGAGAAATCACGACTAGGCTACACTAATCTTACATACCATCCTGATACCTGATAATGGTAAAACAAGCCCTATTGGCTTATATTTGTTATAACCAATGTAGTTATAACTGTAATGCTTAGTGCTAGTGATGCTGGTGAACTTCTTCTAAGCGCGAAATGGCGAAGAAAACTGATAAACCTAAAGCCCGATCATCTCGTTTCTTCTATACCCAAGGCAACAGACGGCTAAAGAAGCTGCTAGATTTTCCCATGACCAATGTCCAGCGCTCTTATAGAACAAAGAAACGGACAAACTCTCATCGCCTAGAATCGCTTAGACAGATACCAAGAACGCAATGATTATGGACTGAATGCCAGCAGTAAGAAGATATATGAATGCCTACATACACCCATACAACTGTGGATGATGTGCTGTGTATATACAGCTTCCATAACATTCGTCATATTTTCATTCGATATTCAGCGACAGTGAATTCACATCACACAGGCAGCCCCTTCATCCTTGACGACACACTTTCGCATTTATATTTAGAAAACATGTCGAAGTATCCACTAACAGCGAGTTCGAAAAGTGAAAAAATGAAACGGCAAAAGTGGAACACAGAAGAGACTCAGCGGAATAACATAGTTTATGGGACTGACGAGTAAAAAATGGATATTTATGCGGGCTAAACTGTACTCCACTGGTTCACTACTACTGCTAAACTGGAGGAGTTTGATATCATGTTGAAAAGTTTAATCAAATCTTCAGAATAGCCGTAAAACAAGGATATATGGAAAATGACAGACTCCATTAATGCTGTAAATGAAGGACAGAAGGCGGGGATCGTGCATGCATAACGCCATTAAAGGCCACACCCTCCCGCTCCCATCCCCCTTTACCAACACCAACTCTGCCTTGCAAAGATGCTTCATTTCTGAATCTGTAATCTGCCCCCAGAATAGCTATCAACTTTACTGGGTCGATTTGACAAAAAAACTGCTATGAGGAATGAGGAAAATAGAAAAAGAGATAATGGAAAGAAAGACAATGACATCTTTGAGACATCTTAATCATCTTTGAGAATCTTCGTGATGAGAAAGAACATGAAACATGAGGTGAGGAAAACCGGATTCTTAACGATATCCGGAAAAAAGAGGAAGAACAATAAAAGCCGGTTAGAGAAAACTGTATGACACTTACCGCTTTTCTTTTCTAGCAGATCGTCGGCCAGGAACCACGCCAAAGTTTTGGAACGAGATATAGGCGCGTGTAATGGATGCGATATGCTTCCTTTCAACGGACCACCGTAAAACCTGTAGTGTTACAAAATGATATTTGTTGAACTTGTAGCACAAGCTGGAAACAGAAATTACACAGTCTGGGCTATCCTATCATATGACAAGTTAGCAGGTATAGCGCAGTTCTCCAGTAATATTGAGAATCACAAAAGAAAAAACTGAAACTGAAAATGCTAACGTGACAAAAAGAACGACAGTTTCTGAATAATTGGGGTTAACACCGCCGGCATAACAACAATATGACTCATAATGCTCGCAATGACAGAAAACAAGAACATTCCAGCAGTGCTCGTAAATTTCCACAACCATTTTCTCTTCTATTTGAATGTAGAAAAAAACGAGTATTTGGTCCACGCTTTAACCCCAATCCGCCACATGGCGACGTGTCACATGTCTTCCACGCCACTAGGCGGCTTAGCACCCCTTACATGACAGATATCCATAAAACCATAAAATGTAGCCCAATAAAAAACATGTACTTTTCGCTTAGAAATTACGAGTTACGGAACAGTGAACTGCTTCTGAAGCTGAAGTTTATAACCGGATAACAAAATGTGTAACTTGTGAAAAAAAAAGGTGACCCAGATACTTTACATTCCTTTTTAAGTATTTACCGAGTTACTTTACAATGATATTTAACTTCAAATACACCTTTAAGTCCACAAAATCAGTCTATATTGGTAGCAAACCGATCTCACAGATGAGTAGCAGCATTATGCAAATAAGCATACCTATAAAGGGCGCGTCTGGCGCAGTGGTCGAAGGCGCTCTTCAACACACATGGAATCGATCTCCGCGCCCATAGCGCACCAAGCCCTCCATCCCTCCGGGGTCGGCAAATTGATACCATACTTTTCTGGGAGGACATTGGCACTCGATACATATAGGTAGGTAGACCACCGCGAGTCATTGTAAAGGCCAGATCTGCATTCGATCACCTCAAACGATGCTTAACGAAGTCGAATGTACGGCGCAGTCATGAAAGATTGATCAACGTCAACAGCTTCATCCTTTTTTATATGGAGAAGAATCCCAATACCAAAGAGTACAGTAAGAATTCAAGTGTTTTCCCATCTTTTCTGTTTTATAACCACTTAAGTGTAGTACTCTACGCACACATGTCGTCGAAAGCTTTTAAGAGAAATCTAGGAAGTTATATAGAAAGCAAACATAAAGAAGAAATTTATGCTGAGGGTTAGCGCTCTTACCTTGGTTGCTGTGACTTCATTACAGGTCGTTCGGCCGTGTCGGTACCAGTGCTAACCTCCTCCGGTACCACTGCCGCCTCTTCGGCACTAACACTTCGATGCTTTTCTCGAGCCGTCTTGATAGCGTCCGATAGAGTCTGAACTCCACCACAAAGATGCCGACCAGAATTTAGAAAGTAATCTAATTTGAGGATTCCTGAAACACATTAAAGAAGTGTGCTAAGAAATACATGTCCTGAAGCAAGAAATAAGAGTCGTATGGAAGAAAAAAATGACAATTGAAGGCAATTTCGGCAAAGTATGGATAAGTTAATTGGATTCGATTACAGAATGCATAAGAGCCTCAAGAAACGATCGATAAACAAGATGGATTTCTTAGGTTTCGACAAGTCCGATGAAGTAAACACTTAATCGGATTGTAGTATTGGTGACAGCTAACACCTTTCTGGCCAGAATCATTACTAAACTTCTCTCTCTACTTCAGATAAACGCCTAAAGTTACCAAGAATGTTATGCAAGTGGGTCCACCTCGTAAGGGGAACACAGCAGCGCTCTAGGACTAGCCAGAGTAAAGGCACCAAAGCTCTCTTGCCCAAATTTGACACATACTGATACAAACAGAAATAATTTTCACAGCAATCACTTCGAAACTGCATGCTATGCCCACATATCGATAATCCAAAGAAGATGAAGGAGAAGAGGAGGAGGGGCAGGAGGGGAGAAGGAGGAGGAGGAGGAGGAGGAGGAGGAGGAGGAAGAAGAAGACGACAACGAAGTCATAGCAAATTCGAACAGACACCACAGAAGACCGTCTGAGGGTCAGAAGTGGTCAAACTTTTGGGCACAACACAACAACCAGAAGCAGAACATAAAGCAATGCACAAAGATTTCGACCATAAGAAAAAAAAACGAAAAAAAGAAAGGTAAAAATGGAAGTAAAGCTTAGTCAAACTAAAAATAGGAAACGTAAAGGCTCCGATTTTAGGAAGAATAAACGAAAAATTAATAGTAAAAATGGAAGTAAACCTTTCCAAAATACGAAACATTTCTCTAGAAAGCGACACTATTGCATCAGGTTGGACAGCGCCACGAGCGATGACTAACGGCGGGCAGTTTCGAAATTCCGCAGCTGCCGCGGCCGCCGCATCGCGACGTACCCCCGAGGGGCGGCCGCGGTAGGAGAAAAGGGTTATCTGGATACTTCAGAGTAACACTACCTACGAGATATCTTACTCGATAATAGTGAAGGATGAGGAGGGCAAAACCCCATGATCATCAACAAAAAGTACAACCACGTGCGCTGTACGTATTATCATTCGGATAGCGCGGTAACGTCGCTTCGACGTTACAAGTACATAAAAACAAAGCTCCGACAATCCATATGATTTCATAGTACAGTCACGTGCGATTCATATAATATAGAATTTCGACTTGTGACTCTACATTATCACTAATTCCAACAGCAATCAGCAATCCAAAGGTTTATGGTCGACAACAAAAATAGAACGACCAAGAATAAGTCTTATCTAATGGTTATGAATTCAGATATCTTTCAGCAGTATTTCTAACACCACGATAAGAACGAAATACGCTGACCAATCATAGCTATAAACTGAAGGAAAAGTATAGAACTCCACGACCGACTTTATATAAACCTCGGCATTGATCAAATAGAGAACGACTTATTCTCCTAAACAGCATCCACAGGACTACCGTAATCGTCGTTTTATGTAAAAAAGAAAAAAGTGAAAACTCTCCATAACGATGCTGGAATATTTGGAAAAATCAAACTTGATGCCGGATTCGAACCCGTGATTACCTTTTCGGGGGCTCACGTCTCACCCACGGCACCAACCGAGGTCCTCGGTTTGCCTTTCTCTCAGTCAGTTTTGTACCCTAATGGTGCTATCACCAATAAACAATCCACATGCCTAACTTTTTTCAAGCAATTAACAAAGACAAAACTCTGTCTCACACCAAATTCAGAAAGATTTCGCAAGCCAAGTATGTCGATGTAAAACTACAACTGAGGGGAAATGATAAGCCAAACGCGTCAAAAGTACAAAAAGCAAGTGTTGCCTAGAAGGTCTTCGCACCAATCTACAGTAACCATTCCTAGTTACAAAAAGCAGCGTAACGTTGAAAATACTTATATGAACCCTGGTCAATCAGATGGTCATTCAGAAAGTTGCTAAAATAAATGAGGTAAAAACTTAACGATTTCTCAAGTAATTCATTGTGCTGAAACAAGAGATGAAGACTGATTTGACTGATGGCAAAAACAGAAAAAGTTCTGTGGAGAATAGTTGAAGAGACCATAGTTCACCTTAAGATGGATCATTTGAGCTTATGAATACAAAACCTAGAGACGGAAAAAATGAAGCCCTTAATAGAATAGTTTCATAGAGCATAGTTCGGCTCAACATAGACCACGGGCCGAGTTTATAAATGTACGAGCGGGAAGTTACTCGTTGATACACGCCTACTTCCTGGTTCATCCACGAGGGTGCACGTGCTCGCTGTCCTTTCCAGCTGATCAGCCATCTCTCGCTGGGCAGCAGCACTCACTCATCCCCTTCATCCCCTTCTCTCCCTCATTAGAACATGAGATCCTCGTGATATCCAAGTGGAATGCGGAAGCTTTTCGAGTCAAAAATCACGGATCATTAGAGCAGAGCTAGGTCCTGGATTACTAGTGCAATGGATGATTGACCGTGCTTATCATGAAACAATAATTTCATTACAAAAATAATGTTCTATGATGTCCAAGGCACTCCTCACACGGATGATGGACCCCAAAAGTATCCAGAATAAGTGCCTGAATGATTGAAGTACTATAAAAGTGGATAAAATAGATAGAATAGAACAAATAGGATAAGTGTAAACATTAACTAGAACTTATGACTACTCTACTAAGGCAGTAAGGGAGGAATTTAAAGCCTTACAACCCTACAGACCAGACCATACTCTATTGTCCTAAAAGTATAATTTTAAAAAAAATACCATTCCAATTTTAGATCTACCTGGAATTAAGATTAACAAGGACAGTGAACGAAGCTCAAGTTTTTGAACATTCCTCCATAAGCAAGGTTGTCACAAGAAAGAACGATGCATTGTGCAATACTACGATGTCCTTTTGAACCAAATCGCGCCTGTTCAATTGCTTTCTCCAATTTTTTTGTTTTCGGGATACGAGCCTCGATGAAGAAAACACCGAAAAGCCCGCCTCGTAGGGTTTATAAAACCACAATTTCACTTTGGTAAAACGAGAGAACATGCACCTCTTAGGTAAAGACTTGGATATTCCGGAGGTTTCCACTTCAGCTAATGGAGTTCACATTCAAGAGTTGAACCCTTTTGTGTTCAAAACCAAAGACGTCCATTGTTTTTGCTTCGTATGACTCATACATAGGTCACATGGTTGTAGCATTTCAAATGCCCCTTAACCTCGGCTATATTTCACTATGAAGATTCAATACACGGCTCATTGACAACTGCTGATTCTACAATTTCAGCTATGCACGCTTCTCTTCGAGAAAACGCCGTCCTCTCATTAATTAACAAAAACTGTTTAATTTTATTATGTGACATGCAGCGTAGTGGTTAGATATGTAATGCAATACACACAACATTGCTTGTTTGGTCCCCTATCACGCACAAAACAAGTCCTTAATCCCTCCGGATTTGGCTACTGAACTTATATCAAAGTGTGAAAACCCCGAAATGATGAATCGATAGCCTCCTACTAGTGATTATATAGGTCAAAGATGCATTCAGTCACCAATAAAACGCTTTATGAAGTTGAGTGGATGGCCCATTCCTAATGAACTGATGAACGCTGAGCGCCTCAGGCTCTATGTAATTTCGTTGTATCATTATAATACCAAGCCGATAAAATGCTACTTAACGTGGAATTACGAACAAAAAACTCATGCAGTAAAATCTTACCCTCTAGAAAAGATTTGGTCTCCTACTCTAGTACCACATTCACACGTGGCATGAACGCATGAGTCTAAGTGCGGTCTAAGTGCATCTGACCTTCATGAATTACATACGTTCGGATGTTACAACGCATAATCGGCGTCTCGGATGTGGGTGGAAAACACCAATCCAACAGCAGAATCAATACGCATTCATGCGGTAGGTACGATTTCTAAGCTTGAATTCATTCCAGCGGTTTCGATGATCGAAAACTTAAAACGAAAATTGCTCTTCATTCATTGCTTGTTCACATAACGAGAACACAAAGTGTAGTAACCACGATGATGTTGAGATATGTTAACTTTTTATTTACTGCCTAATACAATTCTTTCTGGCAGGATATTATGCGAAATACAACCACAATGGTACTGAGATATTCGCAAAAGTCGGTTCCGCTTGTGTCTGCGGTGGGGATTGAACACGCTATTACCCTCTCCGGGAGCTAATGCGTTCACCATCACACCATACGGCTCCTTCGATTCGTCTTTCTCTCAGCTAGTTTCCTATCTACCACTGCCGTCAACAATCACCCGTCAACAGGATTTATTTAGGAGCAAAAATCAGCATTGAACCCAGTTAAGTTGAGGCTGTAGTTGAAATCACAATGTAAACTTTTTATTTACCCCCTACTATAACTTTTTCCAGCAGAATAGTATGTTAAATACAACCACAATGGTGCCGAAACATTTGCAAAACTTCGGAACGCAGGTATCTGTGGTAGGGAACGAACACGTTTTTACTCCTTCCGAAGGACAACGTGTTCACCACCACACCATGCGGGGTCCTACGTTTAGCTTTTCTCTCAGCTAAATTTCTACCTAGCGGCGCTATATTAGCGAGAAATATTACAGTAGGCCGTAAATGAAAAGGTTAGCAAAAAATTGTACTGAATAATGAAAATTGCACTTAACGTTGTGTTGTTTATGTATCGTTTATGTATCCATGTTTTATCCTCTACTTCAATAATCAAAGATTTGTAACGAAAAACCGTCCCTTATCCATTGTTTCTTCACATTTTCACATCACGAGGACTCAAAACAATAGAATTCAGTGTGAAAAGTCCTGCACTGATGCTTAATGTCCGTTCTATGATCTCGCTAACTCGTCCGTTCCATGATTCCGCTAACTTGTCCGGTGCGAGATTACTCATCAGTACCACGTACTCTCTGATATGAAGTGCACCAGCTCATCACCACTCGTCTTCATTTCAATAAAATAGCTTAAGAAATGTCTGAATTCGCAACAATCAATACTTTTTCACAAAAATCAATACTTCTGCCGATGGAAATATGAAACAGCAACGCAATTCTCAATTCGCAATAGTGGTAACATGAGTCAACACAAGTCATAGACTATACCGACGGATCCGGTTATCCGTGCGACTGTGATACGCGAAAAGAGCACTTACGTTCGGAGTTACTTTAGTTCCAGAAAGTAACGACAGGCAATAGGTCGTGACAATTGGATGGACAAAAACAACAACACTTTTCAAGGCGACCGTTATTTAACATCGGTAGTAAAACAGTCAATTTGTTTGAATTGTTGAGCTTACACGATATTGATAAAATTGTTTAATTCAGCTTCACGCTTCGTCTTCATCACAGGCGATGATCAGAGTCCATAGTCCACAGTTGTTCGTCTTCTCGATGTGGCGTCTACGCCGTCGTATCGAAACGGATCTTCTTCAGTGGGACACCCCAGCATCGACTCGGATCATCGGCTGTGATGAAGACAAAAACGTTGAAAGGTTAGCAGAATATACATCGTTATTGACCTTATGTAAGCTCAACTATTTAAACGCACGTTGATTAAGAACAACAACGATAATTGGGAAAAGGGAACAGATTTTTAAAAAAGCGACGGAAATTCTATCTCATGCATAACGACGGCTCTTGATGAACATAAAACGAAAACAAATACTGGGACAAAAAATGGAGAAAACCCTTAACACATATGGGGCCTAGGTCTAGGAGATGAAAGAGATGTTGCCAATGGATTTATCGGCAGTAGAAATTAAATAGAAACCATAAATGGGAACGTCTGGTTTGAAAAAAAAACCCTCTAAATTAAACCACCAGCAATAAAGGTTTCGCTAAAAATCACCAATCATGATGGTAGCAGCGCGATTCTAATTTCTCGAATAAACCGATGACAAATAAGAAGAAGAAAAAACCTGTACAGTCTCATGTTACAAAAAATGACTCTGCTTTTCCTGTCCTAAGCCTTCAGTATTACTGATAAAGGTCTTTTTAACCAACGTTCTAATTAGATTAATGATTTTAATATCATAGCTCTGTGGACAAACGCCACATTTGTAGCTTTACCATGAAAGGTACACACTTTCCTACAACAGTAGGAAACCAGGAAAACAAGAGGTTAGCATCTTAAGTGCTGTACTTTCTGCTTCACCACTATTTCACAGGTCAGAATACCAAGGTGTTTCAACGAAAGTCACGAAATTCTGGTGAATCATATGGAAAAAAAAATGTTGCTGAAAGTAGCTGGTATCTCTCCAAACTATACGTAGAAGTAGAAGACAAAAATGTCGAAGTGTTAGTCGAGTGGACCATTTTTCAATCTTATGTTAACTTAGTAATCCAGGAAATACGTAGAAGGTTCATTACGGTTGTAATGGACATGCGATTCATGACTAATAAAGGAATCAAGGATTGTGAAGTGTTGTAAGATAACAAAGGTTTCAGTCAAGAGATCATTTCACTGATATACCATAATAAGTGCAGTCCACCGTTAGCGTACTGAGAGCTTCCGGGATTCCCTCGCTACGAACGCAAAAGGTACATCTGCCTGCTTTATCGTTACAAAGCATAAAGTACATCTCGATGCGCTAACAATATGGCAAGATAGTTAGTAATAATGTTGTGACCACCATAACAACCACCACCACTGCCACTACCAATGCCATTTGGGCAATGTGATTTGGTAAAGGAAACTAGGACAATGCCACTTGGGCAAGGACAATCACGTTTGGATGACTGCTTGCCGGCTAGCGGCCAACTAGGACGGATGGACGGACGGACGGACGACGTCGGAGCATATCGATGATGCCGGCGACCGACTGACGCCACCACATAATTAGGCCGCCATGCCGTCTAGTGTTTCGCCTGCAACGTAGATGAAAGCCAGGCGGACACATAGATGATCTAGTATGATAAGAAATCGAATAGATAACTGACAAGTGACCAGCTTGAAGATGAGGACCATGCTGTTGGTGGCTTGTGTTCGAGACATGTGAGAAATACGTTCACTTCATGGCTTCAGAATATAAAAGAATCTCAGACGTTTTATGTTACAAATATATGCATACTATTCAGTTTCCATGAAGGAATTCTACTTCAATTGATTTAGTTGGGGGTTCGACTCTATGTTACGAGCTTTTCGTTCTTTTTCTGCTAGCAACAGATTCTGAGCGCTCAAAAACCCACTGTTAAAACATGACGTTTTTCAATTCGACAGTGTTCTCATGCTGAATACTTTAACAGTTGCATGACATGGCATTTCCTACGCACTGGAAGAAATATGTGTTCGATTAGTCAGCTAAATGCAAATAAATAATAAGAAGAACATAGGTTGGTCCTTTACGAGTAAGCTGAGTAGCAGTCCTTCTACAAGTACCTGTCTACCATGGGTAGTCAATAATTGCACTTATTAGTCATTTACAATGTGTCATACTATCTCGCTTCTGTTGAATATGCATGCGACATTGGCTAGAGCCCAGGACGTAGAAGCACATGTCGCACTGGGGTGGCTTTTTCTGTCCGATGACGAGCCGCATGGTGCCAGATGTGTTTGCTTTCCTGAGCACTTAGGGAGACAGAAGAGAATCGGATATGGTCTTTCTGTGTAAGACTGAAACCCATTTCGCCTCATGCGAGTGGTATCTAAAGTAAAGTGCAAACGAATGAACGCTGATGAACTTACAGAACAATGAACTGTTAAACGCTCTGACAAGAACGCGAGCCTTTCAGATTTGATCTGTGAAAATTCAATAATAGAAGAAACAGTGATGCACTATATATGTATATATATATATATATACATATATATATGTATATGTATATATACATATATATATACATATATATATGTACATATATGGCGTGTGTAGCACAGTGATTAGAGGTGCCCAGCAGTACACACAGGATCGATGCCGCGTCCCACGCTCACAGCACGTCTTCCATCACCCTGGGATCGTCAAATCGGTACCAAACCTGTCTGGGAGGATAGCAGCACTGATTCGATACATTGGTAGACTATTGTGAGTCATTCTATAGGCCAGATATGAATTCAGTTACCTCCAACGATGAAGTCGTGTATGGTCGCATTCCCCGAGGATTGATCAACGCCAAAAGAACCATCCATAAACCTAATATATGCACATAATATATATATATATATATATATGTATATTAAAGTAGTAGCGCACGTGAGTCACATATGCTTCACCTTGTCACCAGTACGTTGCTATGTATTGTGAATGGGGCACTTCAACGCATTCGGTTTAGCCAACAGAGCCAGTTTGAACTTGTCCGATCGCTTAGCATACAACGTTTATTGAAAATGTAAGACTATTCAGTCAGTGATCAAAAAGATGCTACTAGGGTATTGCCAGTTCAATCCCTCATTCTGCTTATGTAACATCGTAATAGCGTCATCAAGCAGTAAAGTAATAACAATGTGCTCAGTGCTCTCTTTACTCGATGGTGTTGGAAATAACCTTCAACTGATAAGACCATACACTACTCACTACTGAACAACTATTGTACAGAGCAGTGGAAAGCTCTTCTTGACATCACCAGTCACTGTTCTTCACCAAACACATTCTTGAATACGATAGCCAAATGAACCGGAACATGGGTTTAAATGGAACAAGATAGGAAACAGGGTTGAAAATGTTTAAGGAGTCGAAACTTCTACCCCATTCAGGGTCAAACGTAGTTATATAGAAAGATTTAGTTCTCTCACCGACAACCACGCAATAGGCTTCCTTTTCCGTTTTTGGTTTTGTTTCTCACAAAGTAATGTTTTCACCTTGCATGACAGAAACAAACAGATCATATTTGGAAAGAAGGACTTAACTGCAACATGATACAACTACTACTCAGCAACAAATACCAGTTATGTTCCAGCTTTTTCATCGTCAATTATAAAGGTCTGAAATATTATCTGAACGAACGTAGAGTTGAATAGAAATATAAAACTATAAACTCTTATGTGATTTACAACCCAAGGATCGAATACTACTCCGTTAACAAGAGAAGAATTAAACGATAAAGTATTTGGTCTCGATGAAGAACTATGAGATTCGCCACAGATTCTACTTCATTTAGCACCGTAGAGGTGATTGCGCCCATATTTGGCCCATACATCTACTTGCGAGGGCTGGCCGATATATCAAGCAGTGTTATTGATCATCTTACCAGACTAGTACGGCACCAATTTGCCTATCCTGGATGGATTGTGGGTCTCATTAGCTCTTGCCACGAAATCAAACTAAACATCATGTATGTGCTTTGTGGCACCTCTAACTGCTGCTCTAAGCTACGCAAGTACCAGAATTGATAATTTCACGTTTCTGTTGAACCTCGCATCAAACAGAATATTTCACATTTTTTAAGTACTGTTACCAGTTTTCATCTTCCTGTAGTTTAACTAACTTATCTACTTATAATTTCCATTTTTTCGGAGTTTAACCATTGTGATTCTCAGGAGTTCAGAGGTTAGCCAGGCCAAAGTTTGCCCCAGGTCGTCACCCCCACAAACAACCACTACTCTTGTGCATCAGAGAGAGACTTGCCACCATACAACTGGTTTGGTAGCAGGACAGTGGTGGCCGTGGCATTGACTTGCTGCTGATAGAAACGCCAGACACCTCTCAACTTGGGAGACTGCTGGTGGGATGAATCCTTCGCTGTACATCGCAGCCCGACACCAAGGAACACCTCCCATCCACGATGAGGCTGAAACCGTTGGCAGATAGTATACCTAGAGTTATCAAAACACTTTCTTTCGAGCTTTGATCTAAACAAAACAAAAAAAAAGAATAGATGGTAATAATAAACAAGCTACAACGAGAACTCGTAACTACTACAGAGTTTTACTGTATGAATAGAGCTGCATCAACGTGAACTCTTTTTATAAATATGATGTCATCTTAGTAGTCAATAGTACAAATTATTACGTGCTAA